ACACACACACACACACACACACACACACACACACACACACACACACACTGTGTTGTCTGTGTGGAGGTCAGAATCAACTGGCAGTTGAGATGTCTCCTTCCATTGAGAGTGTCTCAGAAACTGAACGTGGGTTGTCAGGTGTGGTGGCTTTACCTGCTGAGTGTATCTCTGGTTATATGCCACAAGCCATGCCAGACATACTTGTCTGCTACTTTACTTATGGTTCTATCGATCTACTTCATAACATAAACGTATGACTCTTGTTATACAGATGAGAAGTTAAGACAGGTTATGAGACAGCTGAGGATGCTTGGCAACTGTGTCTTCTAGTACTTTACAGTTCTCACAGCAGCTCTGTGAGGCAACAGTGTTATCTCATTTCACAAGCGAGAAACAGAAACAAAAGGTCCCCGAGACTTGCTTAACACTAATCATGTGCAAGTAGGAACAAAATGTGGGCAACAAGACTTAAAGCCTACAATTTTTAACTACTGTGCCATTTTATTTCTCAAGAAGCTGAGCACTGAGCCTAGACTTTGATCTAGGTTTCCATGGTTCTGAAGACGTGTTGTGATCTATTATTATATGATGTTGCCTCTAAATTCCTTGAAAGATGTAATTTTTTGGGGGAGGAATCATCAAAATCCTTTAAGAAATATGGCCCCACCTTCAGAGTTCTATAAGCCAATCTTCCCAGTGAATTCTAAGACTAGCCAACAAAACAAAAGCTATTCAGAGGTAACACACCCCTATTCTAGAATGGAGGACAACATATTAAGTCCTTTGATGTACTTTATGCCAATCAGATATTTCAATGTGGCTGCTAACAGACAATACATTCAGGACAAAAGAAAAGAGAGACTTAGCTTGGGTAAAAAGGACTTCCTGGAAGAATACTCATCTGGTACGGGCAGAAGAGTGTTTAAGGGCATTCAATTATGTGTGTGCTAGTGAGGGCTGACGTATATGTGTGGGCGCATACATGCTGAGGCCAGAGAACACCCTGTGTAATTCCTCAAGTGTTGTCCACCTTATATTTTGAGATGGGGGGGGGGAGTAGTTCACTGGCCTTGAACTCCTCAGACAGGTTAGGCTGGCTGGCCAGGGGCTGGAATTCCCATCACTCTATTTTGTTCTTCTCCAACTGGACACAGGCGCTTAAGATAGCTGAGGCTACCTCAGAACAAAAGGCTGCAGATTCTCTGGGTCTAAGGTTCAAGGAAAGTCTGGGCTGACAGAGTGGATTTTGGGGTTTCTTCTGGGCAGAAAGCTGAGACACAGTCCTACACAGGTTATCTATATCACACACACACACACACACACACACACACACACACACACACACACACACAC